AAAATCTTTAAAAAAAAAAAAAAAAACACGAGAAGACTTACTGACGTAACACTCACATTCAGGTAACACATTCAATGTCTATGACATCCAGTGCTGCGTGACCGGAGTTTACTTACTGAGCAAAGGACTCTTCACAATCAAAAGCCCTAATTCAGGGTTCTTCTCAGATTTCACTGTTAACAGACCATGCTCTGGGGGTAGGGAGTGAAGGGGGAGGCGGGCAGGAATGTCCTTCGCACTCCCCCTGCTACCAGAGGAAGCATAAATAGCCTTCAGAGTAAAAGCATAGAGGTCTTCACCTTTTATATTAAGTCACTGAAATGCTCCTGCATGAATTCAAGGTCACCGTGATGGCTTCAGGACCCACGGCAACGCAGCTCCGCGGGGTGAGGATGGACATTTTGTCCCCCGCAGCATCCATCCTCCCTTCGGCGGGCCAGCACATAATGGCCCACTTGTAGGTGGTAAAAACTGAGGCAATAAGGAAAATAATTTATCTTCAGACTGTCAAAAGCAAAGCTGAGTGACATAATTTCTTGAATAATTCAGAGTATTTTCTAGCTGAGTACTTTAAGAAATGGCAAACTAACAAAAAACCTATTCGTTCCATAGCCATCGTCATCAATAGCCTTTTGATTCACTTGGGTGTCCTACACGGCCTTCGTGCAGGGGCAGAGTACACCACAGCGGGGTGCAGTCTCTTGTCCTTCGTACTGTTCCTACAGACGCCACCATCAGTAGCAACACACACACGGGATGGGAAAATATTATTCCTTTTAGACATACACGTAATAGATTTCCAAATGGAAAAAATATGTGGGTTCTATTCTAATCTTAACGACAAGGAGCACAATGGTCCAATGATGGGAAGGGAGTCTTTAAAACTTGAAATTTACTTAATGAGCACTGGAGTCACCCAATGGGTGACTCCAGATTGTTACAAGGAACGTAAAACCTGTACAAAAAATAAACTAATTCTTGGAAACTTATCCGACAAGCATTGTTCTAAGTGATTTATATGTATAATTTATTCAATCCTCTTAACAACCCTGTGGGGCGGGTTACTATTATGACCCTCATTTACAGATGAGGGACTGGAGGCACACCAAGTCAAGTCACTTGTTCCAGGTCAATGGTGGCTCCTAGAGACTTAAGCCAGGCTCTCACCACACCACCCGGCCTCTCCAAGCCCCTCAGGCTCCTAACTGGGAGGAAGATCTGACCCACTACAAGGCTTGTGTTTAAGTGTGGCTCAGACAGACTTTTCTGGGGATTTGCTGCTTGGTAATAGTTTTTTTTGGGTAACCTTAGACTATGAAAGTTCCTGTTTTACTTCAACTCCTTCAGATCCTCCTGTGAAAGTTATTAATTGCAGATTTGGCCTATGTATCCTCTGGAAGGGTGGGTTAAGGTGTCAATTTTATATTCTGTGACTACTTCAAGCAATTCTTTCGAAGCCCTCAATCTTTGAGAATACACTGGCAGCCCACCATTACACAACCCGTTACAACATGATACTTGGTATCACGCATATGTCTTCACCCATAAAAGGGGTCCCCACATACACCCAACGGGCCTCAATCTCGCAGCATGGATCCTGGCAATGGTGTTACAATGAGGATCCATTTTAAAGTCTGGAATTTAATAACAGAGTATCTTGCATTTGTAAAGCACTCTACAAATTACAAAGCACTTTCTGACACAGCATCTCACCCGATCCCCACCACATCCCTCTAAGAGGAGGCAGGGATTACACTCTGCGTTTTGCAGATGAGGATGCGAGCAGAAAGGGCCAGTGAGGCTCTTCTGCTCTCTGATCCAGCACTCCCCTGCCACACTTTCACGCCTGTCCTCTCCACTGTCTCTTCATTCTAGGCAAAAACCTCACTTCTTTCCCTTTTTTTTTTAAAAAAAGATTTTATTTATTTTAGAGACAGAAAGAGAGCATGAGGAAGGGGCGGGGCAGAGGGAGAGAGAGAATCTCAAGCAGCCTCCCCGCTGCTGAGTGTGGAGCCCGAGGGGTGGGGGAGACTCGATCTCCTGACCCCGAAATCAGGAGTCAGACGCTTAACCGACTGAGCCACCCAGGCACCCCAACCTCACTTCTCTAATGTTCTTATTTATCAGTAGGAAAACTGAAGCAGGGATGGCCAAGCGAAATGCTCAAGACCTCAGTGCAAGCCAATTGCAGAGATAGGAACTGGAGCTCCATGCACAGGGTTTCACCCACAAATTCTTAGAGGGCAAGGATGAGTTATTTCCACAAATGGTTCTCAAGTGCTTACTCTGGGGTAGATCCTATGGTAGTGAAAGAGACGCAGCTGCTGCCTGAGAAAGCCTCAATTTAATGAGGACACAAGAAGCAATTTCAGATTGTGATAACTTCCCCAGGAGGACAGAGTGGGGAGGCCGGATTGACAAGGGTAGTTAGGGCAGACCTCCATGAGGTGACTTTTTTAAACTGAAATTTAATGATGAAAAGGAGGCAGCCATGAGAAGAATCAGAAGAGCATTCCACTCAGAGGGAATAAAATACAGATTATTTTAAATAATCTGTACCTGGCCAGGTTTCATATTCTGTGGGTCTTCAAGAAGAGCATCAGTGTCTTCTCATCCTTACCCACCTACTGCTTCCCCTGAAATGCTCAATCACAGCACTGTGGAGCGGAAAAGGAGTAAAACTCATGCAGCCAGAGCCCCGTATTTTACAAACGCATTCACTGAGGCCTGGAAGATTCACCTCTTGTTAATACTGCCCCATTTTACAGTATGAGGAATTGGGTTAAAGTTATCAACAATGATTCCAAATTGCAGAATCCTTTTCCCCTTCTGAAGTCCGAGTCCCACACTAACTTTTCCCTATCTCAAAGCAAATTTCTCTATTATGCTAATAACTAACATTCAGAACCCTGAACTCACCAGTTTTATCCACCTTTACAGACCATGTGTTTATGCTGTGCGGGTACAGGTGGATCTTGTTTATCTAGTATCTAGTACGTTATTCCTTAGCGTTTATGAAGCATGGCCAAACACCAGCACCAAAAGACGCAAAAGGAACCCTGATGATGAGGTACCAATTCAAATCTATTGAGATTAAAAGCAGAGCTGTTTCTCTGGCAGAGGGAGCTGATGACATTCAAATTCCTGGAATTACCCTTGGCACCACCTTTCCCTCCTCTGCTCACCTTTCTAAAGCAACCTGATGGTATGCAGACATTCAGGTCAGTTTCAAGCATGTTAGATTGTACCTGTAATTTAGGCAACTTGCTTTTAAAAGCTACCATTAGTATTAGCTGAAAGGGAGTATTATCCCGTTCAACTTCTGAGGAGCAGCAGTTAAGAGTTATTTCCAAACAAAAACCCAAGTCTACAGTATAATTAAATCTCACAGAAAGAGTGACCAGTAGCTATTGTGGACTGAAAGGAGGAGAAATAATTCACTGAAACAGTAATTTTACGTATCTGTCGAAAATATGAATAATTTAGACATTTCTTAACAGCCATAAAAAAAGATTTGCTTTCCACCCTCATCACTGACTGATCCAATCCTGCTGAGCTTTAAGATGTAAAATATGCTTCCATGCAATTATTTATCAACCATCAACTGTGTGCAAGGCTGCGCAAGACAGAAGCTTACAAGGAAGAGTTCCTGCCCTTAAGGAGTTTACAATCTAATATACGTCAGGTTATGTACTGTTAGCCCAGGACCTCTATCACTTATTAGCCAGTATCCACTGAGACATGCAGCTGAAAATAAACCTCTGTGTGAAGTGAAGAAACTGACAAATGGCATCTGAAGTTCAGGCTAAAAGCTGTATGTATTTCTCTTCAAATCTGCTAGTATCTGCAAAAGATAGCAGTACATACCGGTAACCAGTCATAGCACAATTAAGCCAACTTTTATTCTGTCTTAGCAAAATTTGGTCAATTGCTGAAATGGGTACCTGGCCTCCTGTCTTTGGTCTGTTTTAAGTAAAACTTTGCTGAAAACTGTGTGATTACAGAAATGCGGGGAAAAAAAGACGTGGTATGGTGAATGTTTCAGTATCCCAACAAACACATACCCTTTGCATTCTTACAGATTTATAAAAGCTGAAAACCGTGCGGAATACTGTTCTTCAGAGGAAAAAAAAAAAGGCATTTTAACCTCACCTTTCTTCACCTCTGACAGTTGCTTAGAAACCAGTCCGGCCCTACCTGTGTTGCAGGTGTACCTAAAGTCACCAACACATCTCTTTTAAAGCTACAGTCTATTCTGACTGCACTTAAGTTTATGACTAACAATCTATTCATATTTTTTATCAGGTAAGAGGCTGGTTCCTTTCAAGCAATGACGAAATCCTAGTAAAGACTTTGCAAGCACCAATACAGCACCAATCATGGTTAAGAAGTCATCTAATTTGTACGAGGCTGTGATATACATATAAATACACACGCACCTACACACGAGAAACACCCAATAAGCAGTCACGTTCCGAACACAGAATTGTGCAGTTCCATTCCTTCGGAAACCAGTATTTAGGACGTTCCGACAAGAGTAAGGGGGGCTCGGAACTACTCCGTGGAATTCAAGGACCCTAACCGGGGACGACCGCCGTCGCCGAGGGACCGAGCGGAGGGACCGCGGGCCGGCCATCCCCCAGCACAACCTTCGGGACGGGGCTGACGGACGCACGGTGCGCGCCGGGGCAGCGCAGCCCCATTGTGGAAGGGAGGACGCTGAGGCCGGCGCCAGCCTCACGGGCGCAGGACCCCGGCCGGCCGCTCCCGAAGCCCAGGCCCCCGCGCAGCGCCCCCGAACCGGCCCCTCCCCCCGACCCCCCGTCCGTTCGTCTGTCTGTCCGTCCCGGGAGACTCCGCGTCGCGGCGACCCTCTCCGCGCCCCGGGGACCCGCCCAGCGTCGGGAGTCGCCCGCAGCCCGGCGCAGGGGCCCGGCAGGGGCGCGGGCGCGGAGCGGCGCCCCTCTCCCCGCCCCACCCCCGGCCCGCAGGCCCCTTACCCCTGCGGAGCCGCGGCTGCCCCACGGCGCCCTCCCGCGCATGTCCGTCCCGGCTGGCTCAGCGCCGCGGGCTCAGGGGCCCGGACACCGCGCAGGCGCCTCGCCACTCGCCGGCCGCCTCTCCCCGACTGCGCTCCCCGACTGCGCTCCCCGCTCGCACTCGGCCGCGGTCGGCGCGGCAGCCGACGCCGCAATATATAGCGAGTGGCGAGGCCGTGACGTCGACGCTCGGCGCCCCACCTCTCCCGCTCAGCCAGTCCCGGCCGCGCGCCGCTTAAAGGGGCGATGCCGCCGCCCAGGCGCTGGCGTGGGGTCCACCGGCGTCGCGCGGCCCCGCGGGGATGCGGCCTTTGTCTCTGAGGGAACCGCTTCTGGGCCTCGGCGGCCTCCGCGCCTCGGCTCTGTCGGATCCGAGCAGCCGCTGCTGAGCCCCCAGAATCCTGATGTTGAATTTTTTTCCCGAAGTGTGGGGGCAGCTCGGCCTCGGCCCACGTTCCGCCCAAACTAAAGGGGACGCCGAGCGTCGCGCAGGGTTTCCCGTAGTTCCCTGGCCCCGGCGGGGTTTGGTGGGTGTAAGCGGGTCCGCCGCCGCGGGGATGGTGGAGGACGCCCGGGCCAAGGCCAGTAGAGCCTCTGCGGGCGGGAGGCCCGGGCACCAGGAGGCCTGCGGGCCGAGGCGTGGGAGGGACAGCAGGGGACAGCATGGACGGACAGTGTGGGACAGCAAGAGGCATCGAGGGACAGAGTTGCACGGTGTGGGGCAGAGCGGGACAGCATGGGACAGGCTGAGACCGTGAGAGGCAGTGAGGCCACCCTGCTGAGGGCCTTTCACGGCAACGCTGAACGCGGGTCGGCCCAGCCGCCTCTCCTCTGACCACACGTTTGGAAATCAAGGCCAGTCTCTGGGCAGCCCACGGGCTTTTCCCGAAGGAGCAGCCCCAACCGCAACCTGGCCTCTCCTTCAGTTTCCAGTCTGGTGTTTACGCGTTAGACCCGCGCAGCTCTCAGCATCTCCGGGCGTCCGGGCAGCCAGTGATGCCCAAGGACAAAACACCCGAAAGCCTGCGGGAGGAGGCTTCTCCCCGCAACGGTGATGCAACTTAGGCTTATAGTTTAACCGTAAAATAAATAATACAAATGATAACAAACCAAGAGTAACTAAAGTAAGAAAAAAAGCAAACAGACAGAAACCCTCCAGTTTTAACCTGAATGGTACTCTCTATTAAGTAGAGGCCACAGACCTCCGGCTGACCTCCTTAGTCTTGTAGAGCCCCTTCTTGGTTTCAGCAATTGTGCCTGAGAGTTACACATTTAGCACTACCTAATTGGGGTAGTTTAACATATGGAGTGAGATTCTGACCTCATTTTCAGGTTAACTATTAACTTACGCACTCCATGAAATGATTTGCCATTTCTCCCCTATTGTTTACTTACATTCTTTTTAAATTTAATTCAAAGACCTAATTTTGAATTCAATGCCTTCTCACACACACACACACACACACACACACACACACACACACACACACACCTGAAGGATTTCTTTGCCCCCTTTCAGTTGCAAGATAAACAGGTGTTTAGCAGAGAGCTCTACTCTCCTTTCCCGTCTTTCTGATGGGCTCCTTCTGGCCTACAGGGGCTCTTGGGTCATTTTCATGCTTGTGCTACTTACCAACAATTCAGTTATTCCATCTGTTAACTTATGTTCTTATTGCCCTTTCATTTGGTATTATTTTAGGATGATGGAAATCAGTCACAACTCTTTGCTGGTTTTCTTAACCAAATTCAGTTTTTTGATTCACAGAAAATCTATCCAGATTGTTTCCCCCCATTTTGGTTTCATTTATGTTTAAGACTTACCCATATGCTGTTATCAGCGTACCAAAAGGACCAGCCTGAGAACTTGCCAGAGAACATCTTTTCAGACCCAACAGTGCAGCCTTTACTGAATGGGGACCTAGATGAGCTCAAGTTTCATTCAGAAGGAACCCTCGTTGTGCTATTTCAAGCCACTACAATACAGTTGTAATTTGTGCTTTGGCCTTACTGGCATGCTTATTGGCATTCCCCTATCCGTTACCAGTGATAATGACCAGAGCAACCATCAAACACAGCCCTTCTTTAGAGAAAGAAGATCAATAGGATAATTGCTGTATGTTTGTGAGCTGTATGGTGTGCTGTTTCGGTAAATTATCAAAAATCATAAAATCACACGAGTAATATACGATTAATCCATTTTTTTCCTTCCGATCTATTTTAAACCAGCAAAATGAACATCTTGATTTTTTTCATTTTGGGGGAAAAAACAGAGTTGATATCGTACTGAATTTTGCTTACAATTATGTTCATGTAATATAGCTCTCAGCTTTGGCTGAATTACATGAATAGACTTTCACCCCACAAATCTTTTATCTAATAGTCTACTAGTGATATTTTGTAATAACACGGTCATGTCAATGATATTGTAGAATGTTTTGGGAAGAGTTTAAAAGGAAAATGGCAAGCAGCTTGAAATAGTATTAGCATATTGTGTTCATCAAATGATCATTCATTGACTTTTAACGATTAGAACACTAGACTAGAGGTTTAGAGTAAAAATATTCTCTTTGTACCGAACCTAACTTGTTTTAAATTGTCTCCAGTAAGAGAGAAGGTTAAGGTCAACTTTTTTTTTTTTTTTTTTTACATCTCTCACAGTCTATTTAATTTGGATTCACTTTCCAGGGAATATAATTAGCTGATTATTTTTTAATTAAAAAAACTAAACATAATATCTAAAATGTTAGACTTATATCACATTGACTCAAATTGTCCCTTTGCACTTGCCCATTTTTCAGTGTAAGAGGAAGCTGTCCTTGGAGTAAGAACAAGGAGAGGCTCTGGGTCAGAAACTGTAGAATCACAGACACTGCTTTCTAAAGACATTGTTCCTTTTCCTCCTGTCTAACAATACCACAAGTCGCGTGTAAACAGGAACATGCTGGACAGGGGCCTTACAACCTTTCCAAAATTATGTTTGAATATTATTGAATCCTGCAGAGGAGGGTACACATTTTGGTGTTTATTCTTCTTGATTATAGATGGTTTTGTGTTTCTATGTTGTTTATAAAGAAATAAGTGAGACACTTTCTGAATCACCCTCTTAGTTCTAGAGCATTTACTTTTGTCTACTCATGATATAAATGTGACTATGCACTTTTTTTTAAGTGAGACACTTTCTGAATCACCCTCTTAGTTCTAGAGCATTTACTTTTGTCTACTCATGATATAAATGTGACTATGCACTTTTTTTTTTACTAATTTATAGCTAAGTGTGCAATAAAGAATACATGACAATGGAAGAATTGCATTTCTTAGAGGTCATTTGTTAGTATGCCACTTTATGATTTGGAGCCGTCCAGGCACAGATATATGTTTATATATCCAATAGCCTTTGTGGGTTACTGCAAAACATCCATGCTGGTAAGAGCTGAGATTCATTCACGAAGGGCACTGCTGCCCAAGGAAGTCTCTCTCCATTGAGCTTCCAACTGTAGCAGCCATTTGAAAAATTGCTTACAAAAAGATTTCTTTACAACTTCTATTTTTCCCTTCTGTAGTTAGGGATACTCCTCTCCCTTCCTAGATTTTCCCCCTAAAAAAAAAAAAAGAGAGAGAGAGAGATAAAAGAAAAAACGTATGTGCAGTATACTCAGCCTGTGAGGCTACCTTTTTCTTAGTACGAGTCTTAGAGAGGCTATTTGTATAGTTGCTTATTTTTAAATGGAACCACTTTTCATTGACTTCATTCTCCCTTAAGAAACTTTGATGCTATTTGGTGATTATTGTATTTTCCAGTTCTAGCCCATTTCTGGAACTTAGAACTATTAGAAACTTTTTAGTGTCCAATAGGCACATTAATTGAATACGTGGATGTTTGCAAGACAGTGTTTTTCAGGTTTCTTTTAAACGTGAATCTGATTTTATCTTCAAAGTTTACCATTACATTCCCCTCCCAGTAAATGCCGCATTTCCTATTAGCTGGCCAGTAGGGTGCGCTCTAGTCCCTTGCCAGATTAATTAATTAATTAATTAATTAATTAAAATATTAATGTAAACCCTTCATTAAGAGATTTCAGAAATCTATTTCATTCCTTCACTGCCACCAACACAGATGAGGTATGTTGATATAGAGACAAGCGAATCGCTTAGCATACACAACATACATGGAGAGTGAAACTGTACCATTAAAAGAAAAATGTGAGAGATTTACTTCTTTGGATTTAGTTCCAAAATAATTTGCTATTATCTTACCAGATCGATCCCTTGGTGACAGGTATTTTCTTTTATTCTGGGTGGAATGACAATAAGAAATCTGATGCAGTGAAGAAGAGCCCAGGCTCTGGGCTTACATCCTAACTTTTTCACCAGCTGAGTGATTCAAGCACTTACTTCACCTTTTGTAAGACAGTGATAATAGTGGTACCTACTCCACAAGGTCCTGGGCCAGAGAAATGAGATTGTATGTGGGAAAGTGTTCAGGACATAGCGTGGCCCCAGTCAGGGTTCAAGAACAATATCTGTTTTTGTCATTATTGCTATATTCTCACTGTGATTGCGGGTAATATACTCGTTGAGAGATTTTTGAACACCTTTCTTTGCAAGATTCCAAAATTCTCTACTGCTTATTAGTATACATGATTTAATTTGGGAGGTTGTTTCGTTAAATTCCAGGAGCATAAATGATTTATAAGATAAAGTGTCTTACTTGATCTGCAGTATTCCCACTTAAGGGGCTATAAAACCTTAAGCCAAAGAAAAGGATCGGCCCCATAGTGAAATTTCAGGCACTAGCAATCCTTGGGGAAATACGCTAGGGGTGGGAAGAATCTCAGCATCTCTGAAGGGAAGGTAACAAGTAGCCACAAATCTTTGAGCACCTTCTTGTAAACCCATACTCATAAACATCCATAGGCATGTATCCTTTTTTAAAAAAGATTTTATTTATTCGAGAGAGAATGAGCACACAAGTGGGGGGAGAGGCAGAGGGAGAAGACTCCCCACTGAGCAGGGAGGCAGATGTGGGGCTCCATCCCAGGACCCTGAGATCATGACCTGAACTGAAGGCAGACGCTTAACCATCTAAGTCACCCAGGTGCTC